CAATCTGGCCCCAGGCACTTACTAGCTGTGTGATCCTGGAGGAGTCATCAACCTCTATCCTCGACTGGAAAATGAAAATAATAACTGGACCTCTCCACAGAGCTATTGCAAAGATCAAATGAGATAATATTTGTAAGGAGCTTAGCACAGCGCCTGGTACATAATAAATGCTTGTTTCCTCCAATCACAGCAGGAATAAATTTTAGCAGAATGCAGTGGGGTCAAGGAGTATGCTGAGCCTGGACCCATTGGTGCGTATACCCTCTGTGGAAAAGTCACTGACCTCCTCAATATTCCCAGTGAGAGCCTTTCCCTAGCATTGTCAGCACTGGTCACCTGGATGCTTCCTTATAAGGATCTGAATTATCTGAGCTCCTCTTGGAGTTTGCTTGGTTTGCAGACAGTTCTGCCCATGATGGGCTTGGCATCTTCTGCTGATTCTCTGCTGAGTGCATCTCTGTCTCTGGCTAAATAGCACAAACACTGGAACCGAAGTCTGGCCTCAGACGTTTGCTAGCCATGGGTCTCTGGGCAAGACGTTTTACTTCTGTCTACCTCAGTTTCCTTATCTGTAAAACGGAGAATAATAATAGCACCTACCTGTTGTGAGGATCAAATGAAATTATATTTGTTAAGTGCTTCGTAAACCTAAAAATGCCATATATACATATGTGTGTGTAGATAGATAGATAGATAGATAGATAGATAGATAGATAGATAGATATAGATATACACATATATACACATATGTTAGAATGTGGTAAGCCCTGGAGGGATGGGGGACCTGAATAGTCTTCCCGGTCACTAAGTAGTCAGGTGCCTACAAACTCCAGTGATTGGACCATTAAGTGGTAGAACTTTGCTGGCATGTATTCAGGTGGACCTGACATCAGTACTTACTAGAGCAGAGCAAGATGAGGGGAAATATCATCTCAGGAGAAGGCTAAGCAAGGGGACTATAAGCCTTTATCTTTTTTTTTGCAAATGTTTTGGAGCAGAGAGCTTTTCAAGTGCTGCTGGTTCTGGTGCTTGTTTTTCTGCTCCTGGCTGCTGTCCCACTCATAAGTTTCACTATGAATTGCACCAATTAATGGCTTGGCCACACCACAGCTGTTATGACTTCAAAGTACGGTTATAGTTTTAACTGTGACTTCCGGTTTTTTTTTCCTTTTGTTGGCAGTATGCTTCATATACTGTTCTCTTTCAGTAATTTATTTGTTAACTTAAAATTAACATCTAGATAATTTATCCCTGGACACAAAATATGGCTTCAGTTCTAGGTGTGGTCATGCTAAAGAATGTATTGAGTGTTATTTGTACTACCCAGGCCCTGGGCCCTGAGGGGCTGATTATGCTGTATGGTTTTAATGATCTAAAGTAGATGGATAGTTTTTAGTCTTGGAGATCTAGAATGATGATAAATTAAATGCACTAAGACCTGCTTTGGGAAGAATTTTATATAAATTGATATGAAGAAGGGAGGATAACTCTTAGGATTTCAGAAATTGTTTATGCCTTTCTAGAGCTTCTAGTTAAAAAAAAAAATATTCCAAGCAGCCAGAAAGAATTCAAATACCAAGAAACCAGAGCCAAGATCACACAAGACCATTCTGTAACTAGTACAAAGAAGAAAGAAATCTTAGGATGCAATATTCCAAAAAGAAAAAGACTGAAAGCTAAGAATGCCATATCCCAAAAAGTATCTTCCTATAGCAGGGACGTGAATCTTTAACAGAATAGAGAACTTGAAAGAATTCCTGATTAAAAGATCAGAGCTAGAGAGAACCTCTGATACTTAACCACAGGAGACAAAAGAAATCTAGAAAGGAAATTCCACTTGAGCCATTGGAACCTGCTAAATCATAATTAAGTACTTACATTCTAATATGGGGAGAAGACAAAAGTTTTCCTTCAGATTCTGTCTTCAAGAATAATAAAGAGTATAAAGAAAGACAAATACAGGGCAAAGGGTTTTCTTTTCTTCTGATTTTGTTGATGTTGAGAGGAAAGAAAAGGGAGGTGGGGAGTATAAATTAGAGAATAAATGAGAAATGAGGAGAAAGAACTTACTACTTCTCATAATTAGGTTTCACCCAAATTAAAGAATACAGAAGAGGAAAAAGAGGTAAAAAGAGAGGAGAGTGGACATCAGATGAATCTCACTATCATCTGACCTGGACAAAGCAGGATCAAACACATTAAAATATAAAGAATTTGGTATTGATATACATTAAATTAAACAAGGAAATGGCCAGGGGCAGGGAAAGAGAGTACAAGAAGGTACAATGAATTTGAGAGGGAACAGTTACAAGTAAAACAAGCTTCAACTTTGAAGGATTGATCATACAGGAAAGATTCAGTGGAAGGGGAAAAAAGTATTAAGTACCAATGACCTGAGTCTGAGCTAAATGAAGAGAGGAATGAGAACACACCATTTCAGTTATAGATTATTAGAGTTGATTCCATTCCATTTCTTTCGCTATCTTATTCTTCCTTATCAATAAGGAGGAAAGAAAGAAAGAGAGAGAGAGAGAGAGAGAGAGAGAGAGAGAGAGAGAGAGAGAGAGAGAGAGAGAGGAAGGAAGGAAGGAAGGAAGGAAAGCATATGATAGAGGAAAAAACACAATTAATCAAAACTGTGATTGTGAATAGGATAGACTCACCCATAAAAGAGAAATGAGTAGCAGAATGGATTAGAAAGCAGAATCCAACTATACATTGTTTACAAGAAACATACTTAAAACATAAAGATTCGCAAGGAGCTAAAATGAGAACTTAGAGAAGAATTTATTGTCTCAAGCTATTTTTTAAGCTGAGGTAGCAATCAAGAAATCAGACAAATCAACAGTTAAAAATGAACAGGGTTAAAAAAATTGAATTATACTTAAGGAAACATATAGAGTGAAATAATATCAATACTTAATGCATATGCACTGAATAGTATAGTACCCAAGTACTTAAGGGAATTTTAATTATAGAGAGAAATAGCAAAATAATAACAGTTGGGCTCCTCAGTGCGCCCCTTTTAGATATAAATAAATCTAATAAAAAATATAAACAAGAAATAAGTTATTTAATTGAATTTTAGCAAAGTTATATATGATAGATTACTAGTGATTACTAAATGGAAACCAGTAGAAAGATACATAAAACTCCTTAGATTCTTTGGCACCGTTGACAATGTGCTACAGCATATAACATAAACAAATACAGAAAAGAAGAAATATTAAACATCCTTTACTGATCACAATATAATACAAATAATAATCAATAAAGAGCATTTGAAACTTCTGAGCAGAAAGACTAAGCAATTAATCTTGAAGAATATATGGGTAAAAGAACAAATTATAAGAATGAGATGCTATCAACAAAAAAACTGTAAGAATGAGATAACATTTCAAAACTTTTGGGAAGTAGTCAATGCAATCTTTAAGGGAAAACCTATAATTCTAAACACATTCATCTGTAAAAAAGAAAAACACATCAATGAATTGCACAACTAAAAAAAACTGTAAAATCAAAAAATTCTAACTAAACTTAAAAATTGCCTGAAAAACCAAATAAGATATAAAACTGAAAACAAAGAACCATTTAATTAATTTTTTCAAAAACTAGGACCTGTTTAGGTTTTTTTTTGGGGGGGGAACTAACAAAATAAATAAACTATTAGGGTTATTTTTTAAAAAAGAAAAAAATTGCCAATATCAAAAATGAAAAATGAAAATTTATAACGAATTAAGAGGGAAAAACATAAGCAATTCTTCACCAATGGACTTGTTAGCACAGAATACCTTGCCCACAAATGATGCTACCAAAATTAATCCTCTGTTGGGAGGCTCTGCCTTGGAACATGTCATGCATGGCTCTCAAAAACCATGGACTTAAATACAAGTGAAATACAAAGAAGACAATAGGGTATCACAGCTCACAGATGATATATGTTTCTGTCAAGGTTCATCTCCTTTACAGAAGAAGTTAGCAACCTGACAATGAAATGTTAGTTATCATGGCTATAGTGAAACAAACATGGGACAGCTAAGAGGAGTAGTGAGGGGCAGCTAGGTGGCACAGTGGATAGAGCACCAGCCCTGAAGTCAAGAGGACCTGAGTTCAAATCCGGCCTCAGACCAAACACTTGACACTTACTAGCTATGTGACCTGGCAAGTCACTTAACCCCAATTGCCTATACACACACACACACACACACATATGTATATATGTGTGTGTGTGTACGTATAATGAAACAAACAAAAAGTTCTATATAAAACAAAATATTCATAGTAGCACTTTTTATATTAGCAAAAGAACTGGAAATAAAGTAGGTGCTCTTCAATTTGGGGATAACTGAACAAATTATAATTTGTTCCATTAATGTAATGGAAGATTTTTTTAGTATGAGGAGCAATGGAGATGAAGAATTAAGAGAAAGATGTGAAGATATCCTGAATGAATGCAGAGTAAAGGAAACAAAAGCAAGAAAACAATATACCCATTGTTACGACAATATTAAAAGTGGCAATACAAAGAAAGCAGAACTCAATGATCAGAATTGGTTCCAGATGTTTGATATTTGAATACAATATAATTTTTTTAGTAAAAAAGTGGAAAGCTATGAATGCAGAATGTTACATACTCTGTCAGTTGTGATCATTGCATCAATCAGTTTTGCTTAATTTTTTTCTATTACAAGAAAGAGCAAAGGGGAAGGAATTAGAAAGATTATTGAGAAGTGGTTTTGCCATAAAAACAAACTGCATTAAATAAAATATTATTTCTTTTAAATAGTCACCTTCTAGGAGAAATAGTTTCAAGAAATGACACATTCAAGTCATCTCTTTCCACTCTTACCACTGGGAATTACAACATCAAAGTCTTATTTTAGAATTGACTTCTATCACTTCCTGTTTATGACTTAATCCAACTGGTGTGACAAGAATACATTCTGTTCCAGGCACAAACCTCAGCTCCGGGACACTCTCAAGTCTTTGCCAGACCCTACCTGTCATTGCATGAGGGATGTTAGTGATCATGACCCTCTGGCTTTGCATTCTGATTCCCGTCTCTGGGTTCTGCATCTCCTTCACCAAGTCCTCAATCTGAAAGACAGAATGGAAGGAAGTCAAAAGGTGAGTCCCAACAAAGAATTTCTTGTCTATTTCCTCTTATTTCAGATTTTTTAAAATTATGTGTGTTTTATTAGAGCCAGAAGAAAAAGAAACCTGATTCTAGATATTTGGCTTATTTATATGGATATTCTATTTGTGCGATGCCAGATATCCAGAATCAAGTTTCTTTTATTTCTGGCTTTAATAAAATATAAATTAAAGTATTTGTAATTTTTTTCCATCCAGCTCATCTGGTCCTCAGATGACAGACATCATCCACCACTTGAGCCATACTTGAAGACTTTCCAACTTGGGAGGACCTCTCAAAGCATTCACTCTACTGACAGGCTTGGAGAAACCAGGGTTACCCCTAGCATGGAAAGGCATTGAAGTAGGACTTCAGTGAGTTTCTCTACAATCAGTCAACAAGTATCTATAAAGTACCTACTACTTTCCAGGCACTATGCTAGGCACTGAGGATACAAATACTATGAAGAAAACAATCTCTCCCAAGAAACTTACATTATAAGGGAGGAGACAAAAGAGGTATATACATATATATGTATATATGAGAGGAGACAAAAGAGGTATATACATATATATGTGTGTATATATGTATATATGACAGGAGACAAAAGAGGTATATATATGTATATGTATTACATATGTGTGTATATATGTATATGTATTATATATGTGTGTGTATATATAAGAGAGGAGACAAAAGAGGTATATACATATATATGTGTGTATATATGTATATGTGACAGGAGACAAAAGAGGTACATATATGTATATGTGTTATATGTGTATATGTATTACATATGCATATATATGAGAGGAGACAAAAGAGGTATATATATGTATGTGTATTATATGTGTGTGTATATGTATTATACATGCATATATAAGAGAGGAGACAGAGGTATATACATATATATGTATATATGAGAAGAGACAAAAGAGGTATATATGTATATGTATTATATGTGTATATATATATGTATTATATTGTATACATAAGACAGGAGACAAAAGAGGTATATATATGTATATATGAGAGGAGACAAAAGAGGTATGTATATGTATATGTATTATATATGTATGTATATAGGTATATGTATTCTATATGTATATGTATTATATATGTATATATGAGAGGAGACAAAAGATATATACATATATACCTCTTTTGTCTCCTCTCTTATAATGTAAGTTTCTGTATTTAATTGTATGTATACATATACATACAATTAAATATGGAATAAGTATAAAGAAAATGAATACAAAATAGTTAATAATTGTAATAATAGTTAGCATTTATGTAGGTTTACAAGACATCTTTCATATGTTAACTCATTTGATCCTCACAACAACCCTGAGAGATAGGTGCTATTATTATCCCCATTTTACAGATGAAGAAACTGAGGCTGAGAGAAGTTAAGAAATTTGCCCTCCATCACACAGTTGGTATCAGAGGCAGGATCTGAGCTCAAGTCTACCCTGAATAACCTAATTGCCAACCATACAATATAATGTTGTTTGAGAGGAGGAGATTAGATAACCATTGATGACATCAGGAAAGGCTTCGTGTTGCAGGTGATGTTTGAGAGGCATCTTGAAAGAAGAGGCATTTCAGCTTCAGACACTTGACAATTAGGAGTTGTGTGACCCTATGCAAATGACTTAACCCCGATTACCTCACCGAAAAGAAAAGGAAAAAAAGGCATTCAATAAGGTAGAAGTGAGTTGAGAGTGCATTCCTTAGGTTTCGACTTTTAAAAGTTGTAGCTAAAGTCCCACTGTCTGCAAGAAGCCTTTCCAAGACCTCTGGGATGATCTCCAATTTAACCTTGATATACCTTGTTAGTACATAGCTGTTCACATTGTTTCCCCCATAGGACTGTAAATAAGCTTCATGGGAACAAAGGGTGGTCTTTTTTGTTTGTTTGTTTGTTTGTTTTGCCTTTCTTTATATCCCTAGAACTTAGAATAATGCCTAGCACATAGTAAGCACTTAATAAAGGCTTCTTGACTTGGTGTAACTTAACCAAGTATCAAAACTTGTCTATAGTGAGCCCCTAAATAGCAGTTTCATAAAAGAATGAAGGTAGTTTTCGTACAACTGAATCAGTTAGCTTAGAGTGTAGCAATAGACTCAGAGTTCTGAGTTTGTTTTGTAGCATGCCTGACAACATCAGAGGACGTCTGAGCCTTGTTCTAGCAACTGATGCTTTTTGAAAGCAGTCAGCTGAAAGTGTGAATATGGAACAGAGTCCACTCCAGAAGGGGAGTGAGTGTAGGAGATTATGTGAAGGTTCAAAGCTCTTATAACTATAGCAAGATGTTGAACAGGAAAGTTCTGATCAACTGTGTCCCTATAATCCTGTGACGGAAGTTACAGTAGTTAAGGGGCAGGTAACGGAGACAGTGAGATGTAAAAGTGTGTCCCTTTCAGACTTTAAGAAGCTATATTTTCAAGCTTTCAAAAACTCTTTAAATTCTACAGGACACATTTCCATACAAAAGGGCCAGGAATATTGGCTGGGGAATTGAGACTTGAAAGTTTGGAAGGTGGGGCAGAGCTGACCTTTGTGACATTTGATCTTTGAAGAGAATCTAGAAGAGAGCCAATTATGGAGAAGGACACAGCTGTTAAGAGTTCGCTCTGTCGCCTTTTCCCTCGCATCTCTTGGATTTTTCAGGGTGATGCTGGGGGAAGCAGGGATTTCTCTTCCCATCTCATCAGCAACGGCATTTTGCCACAGAAGCACACGGTGGAATCCAGCTTTGGAATTCGGCAGTTGTCAATTCCAGGAGAGCCTGGGGCCAGTACCACACTCCTCTTGGAGAAAACAATGTTCAGAGTCAAGACTGAGAAAGCTGAAGCATGGAGGCTTCTATTTATTCCAGGATAATCATTCCAGCTCCTTCTAGAAAAATGGATAGTAGCTCTCTAGGCCAGGATTTCAGAGAATCCATAAGAAGGAGGCCATGGTGACTATGGTATAACAGCACCCAGAGGAATCTGCAAGTCCCAAGTCAGGGAGAGCAGGTCAAGGACTCCAGCAGCCATGCAACGTCAGAGATGTAAGTTGTTCTTCCTCACCTGTGCTTTGGCTACAGGTGCCTCTCTACTTGTGAACTCTATGTGTGTCTACTCCTCCCATTGATGCTGTAGGTATTTGTGGGAGAGTGCAACCCAGATTTATCAATTAATAAATCAATAAGCATTTATTAAGCACCTACTGTATGCCAGGCACTGGGGATACAAATTAATAAAATGAAACAATCTCTCAAGGTCTTGCATTCTATTGGGAGAGCCAATATGTGTTTATAGCTGGTATGTAAGGTAAAAAAAAAACCAAAATAAATAGGAGGTAGCTAGTAAGGCAGTTAAGTGGAGCGGTGGATAGAGTGCTAAGCTTGGAATCAGGAAGATTCATCTTTCTGAATTCAAATCTGGCCTCAAACCCTTACTGGCTGTGTGACCATGGGCAAGTCACTTAACCCTGTTTGCCTCAATTTCCTCATCTGTAAAATGAGCTGGAGAAGGAAATGGCAAACCACTCCAGTATCTTTGCCAAGAAAACCCCAAATAGGGTCATGAAGAGTCAGAGAGGACTGGAACAACAAAATCTAAAGTAGATGAGGAGAAGGTCAGGGAAGGCTTCATGTCAGTACTTTATGAGGCAGAGCTTGAGGAGGGAGTGCATTCTAGGGATAAGGAATAGCCACTGCAAAGGCATGGAAGTGACAGGTGGCACATTATGCTTGAGGAACACACGACAGTTTGAAGGCCAACTTGGCTAGATCATAGAGTTTGGGAAGGATATTTTCTTTGTATGGTGCCAAATATTCAGAATCAGGTTTCTTTTATTTGTGGCTTTAATAAAACATACTTTAAAAAAATAAGCCTAAAATAATAGACAGGGAATGCTTAGTTAACAATAAATTCTCATATTTGCATATAGCATTTTAAGGCTTGCAAAGTGCTTTATACACATTATCTCATTAGATCATCACAACCCAATGAGGCAGGTGCCACTGTTAGTCCCATTTTTGTTGCTGTTGCTGTGTCTGACTCTTTGACACCCCATTTGGGGTTTTCTTGGCAAAGATACTAGAGTGGTCTGCCATTTTCTTCTCCAGATATTTGACAGATGAGGAAACTGAGGAAAGCAGGGTGAAGTGACACTCCCAGGGTCACACAGTTAGTGAGTGAGTGTCTGAGGCCAGATTTGAACTCAGGAAGATAAATCGTCCTAACTCCAGGCAGAGCACTGTATGCCCTATGGTGCCACCTTGCTGCCTGATTTTACCGATGAGGAAATTGAAGCTTAGAGAAGTTATTACTTGCTATTTTCACTGGCAACTCTGGGAAAGTTAAGAGTTCATAAACTGTTAGATTATGCCCTTAGGATCTTCATCTATCACATGAGGGAGAGGTTGAACAGTCTCTGAAGGGACAATCTCTAATGTCCCTTTCAGCTCTAAATTTATGATCTTGAGATGCCAAGGATGGGATTTATCATTTGGGTCTCTGGAACCAAATCAAGTGCCATACTAAGGATGATACAATTTTAGGAATTCTGCCACTAATTCGATGTGTAAACAAATGCTAGCAAAGACATCCCGTCTGTCTCAGTCTCATCGCTCCCTGGATAACAGCTACAGACAGTTAGCTAATATGTAGACAGATGCTCTTGGCTTCCAGACAGCTCCCACTGGCTCCTAATGTAGAAATATGTTTTGTTTTCATCAAAGCCTTGGGATGGGGAGGGGGTAGGAGGGAAAGGAGGGGGTTTGGAACAGAAAACTATTCATTTAGTTCCATTTTAAACTGTTGTCCCTTGGCTTTCCTCAATGACAGGGTCTGGCAGACTTTCAGACCACTAGGTCAATGACACAGCCGCAGGGAAAAGAGGCAAATTAATAATACCCATAGGGGAGAGTAGGCTAGAAGGTAGAACCAGCTGCTAGTCCAAGAT